GAAAGAGTGAGGTGGGTAGTTTGATCTGTGGCTTTGTGTATACTAGGCTGTTTTCCCCCCCCCCATGGCAGTTAATTGGCAGATAATTCACTTGGCAGTTTAGCTAAGGCATTTGTACTTAGAGTGTAGTTGCTCCACAAACGTCTCTTAGGTAGAGGGCAGAAAACCTGTATGTGTTGTGAAAAAAGTATCTCAGCTCAGCCTGGCATATTAGTATGTAACTGACTGCCAGTTAATTCAAGTTACGTAGTGCTGGTTATCTCTAGTGCAGTAAAACCTTCTGAAAAGAACTGGTAAAGTCAATCTACTTGTTAGTAATAAACAGCTTTCCAGCATGTATACAGAAAACAGCTCATTTCCTAGTTTCAAGTATGACTTTTTTCCCATTGTCTGGACTTTACACTTCCTTTCGGAAGGGTGACTTTGTTTTCACCCTCAAGCAATTGAATATTATGGATAGAGTTTTTGTTCAGTTTGTCCACAATTTTTAAAAGTGATATCTTCCAAAAAAAAAAAGGGGAGGGTGTGGGGAGGAAAAACCACCTTACTACATCTTGAACATGATTTTATTGAACAAACTATTAAGAGTTAAAATACATAAATCCTATTTAAAAAGCTGCTGCTGCTGCCTGGTTCTTGGCAGTAATTTGCAACTGTTCATGTCTGAAGATAATATACAGGTTATTTACAAGTCACACAACTGTAAGTAATTTCTTGTCTTTCCAGATGTGCATACAAGATGCACATTATCAGAGTGATTGTCTAGAGACTACTCTTTTGTATTAGCATTAGTGTGGCTTAACACTGACCCCCTTCCCCCTCTCTCCCATTTTCCTACCACCGTGTTGTTCAGATCTCTGTGGCAACTTACCAAAAAAGTATTATGAGGAACAAGTAAATACTCTTTAGTTTGTTTTTGTAGCTGAAAACAGTGGAAGGCCAGCACCACGTGATTAACGACATGCTTCTTAGACAACCGCTGGTTCGTGGACTGCAGTGCAGGAAATGTGTAGGAAATAGAAGTTCAGAGCTTGGTACGTTGTTCAGTGCTGATGTTGTAGTTGGCAAAGCAAATCTGTTAAGATGTGCTTGAATGCTGCAGTATTTAAAATCTGTGGAGGCGAGCAGCTAGTGTGTGATTTTTTTTTTTTTTTTTTAATTTTTCTTTTATTTTTTCTTTTTATTTTTAAAAAAAATTTTTGTATATTGAAAGGGAAGTGATCAATTGGAAGATGGTATTAAAACTATTGTTTGTATAGATTATTACATTTTTAATGCTGCAATCCTAGTTTTAAGGCATGGAAGAGCAGTAATAAATGTATATGGAAATCTTTTTAAAACCAAAAATTTAAATTCTGGCAAGCTTTTTGTTAATTTCATTCCTTGCGCTAGTCTTGCATTAGTAGAACAGTAGGGAATATTACTAAATAGCAAGACAAGCTTTTGTATGAATGAAGTCAGTACTAAGTAATATCTGATGGTGTGCTAGGCTTTGTTTTGGGCTAAACTCTGAGGCTTGAATTTTAGATGTAAGATTTTGAGAATAATGTAAATAACTTCAGTGATTTACTTGTCTCCTTACGGGCTTGTTTTCAATACGAAATTAACTTGAGTATTTTTCTTGCCTTGAATCCTGATTTTTTTTCCCCCCCCATTTGCCTTTTTAACTTGAGAGGAGTGGTATACAGTCATGGTGTTTGGCCAGTGTTGGATTTTGCTCAACACGTGAGTGCCCATGTGGGAGCCAATAATCCTCCAATGCTTTTCCCAGCTCCCTGGTGTGTGAAGGATGAACAAATTCTTCATTTCAGTGGGAACTGTAGCTTAGCTTACTGAAATTCTAAAAACTATCAGCTATTTATAGGATGACCATATGGGACTACCCTGCCATCCCCTACTGTCCTAGGTTTCTTAGGCAGGATGGAGCTGGTTGGGAATGCAGTCCCTGCCCCAAGCTCTGCCAGGCTCCTCAGTGCGGGGAGCATTCAGCCTGAACCCAGGGGTTGCCCCATGCATAGGTGAGCTCTGCCACCACCCCAGTGTCTCTGTCTTCCTGGCATCATGCTGCCTTGCTGTCACTCCACCCTCTTCCTCTCTAGCTTCGTCCTCCATCCCTTCAGCACAGGCCTGAAAGCCTGCGGGGGACACATCTGTGACTGCCCTGTGCCACCGGGGACATGAGGTTGGTGTCTCATCATCTGGGGAGAGCCTGGGTGAGCTGGCAGAGACCAGTGCTGTCCCTGTCTACCTGACCAGCTGCAGATGGCTGGAGGATGCTGTTGGCAGGGGGTGGGGGGAGAAACTATGCCACTGCCAGGGCCAGGCTGAGCACAGCAAGCTCCTCACCTCCACTGCAGCCCCCCAAGGGTGCCACTGGGCAGCAGTCATCATGCAGTCCTGTCATGTCTGCATGTAGGGCTGAAAGCAGAGAAGAGCAGTGCCATGCACAGTCCATAAGTCCATACCTGTGAACCCGCGTGATGATGGCATATATCTAGGTAGGGTGGGTGGGGTTTAGGTCTACCCAGTGGGGATGGGGATGCTACCCGCAGGATACTTAGGAAAGGCGAGTTAGGGACAGCCAGGGCCACTGGGCGGGGGTGCAGTGTGGAGCTGTCCATTGGAAGGGAGAGGGTGCAGTACCAGCTCCTGAAGTGTCCTGCCTTGCTCCTGAGCAGCCCATCCCCACAGGCTCAGAGTGAATCCCAGACATGGACCCCCACTCCACTTGGGATAGGGGTCAGAGCCACCCCCCCCTTCTCGCCATTATCTTTGTGGTTTTATCTTTGTGAACTCATGGAGGTCAGGTAATGAAAATAAATAGGATGAAATTAAAGAAAGATGAGTACAAAGTACTGCCTGTAGGATGGAAGAAATACAAAATCCTAGAAATGTAGGACTGGGAGGGATCTCTAGCCAACTCCTTGCTCATGGCAGGATCAGCCCTCTCTAAACAATTCCAGACAAATGTTTCTTTAACCTTCATTTAAACTTTTAATTATGGAAATTCCACAACTTCTCCAAGTTATGCATTCCAGTACTTCATTACTTTTTATTAAGAAAAATCTTTTTAATATCAACATAAATAGGGAGAGACTGGTTAGACTGCAGTAGTACAGAAAAGAAGCTGGAGGGGTATAGTGATAGTGGTTCACAAACTAAATACAGATAAATAGCATAATATATTTGCAAACATGACATGAGGAAGAAATAGGTTGAAAGAATTAGGATTATTCAGGCTAGAGATGAGATGACTGAGAGGGGTTTGAGAAGTCTTCAAATTCAAAAAGGGTGATGGGCAAGGTGGTGGTTGTGGTCAGGATAGTGATCAATTATTTTCTGTCCACTGGGAATAAAACAAGAACTGATATATGTTTTTAAATTGCAACAAGGGAAATTTTAAACTGGGTATTACCTAGAGAGGTTGTAGAAACCCTGTTATCAGAAGTTTTTACCTGCAGGCAACTCACTTTTCTGGAAAAAAAATCCAGATAAGGAAAACCTCTTGAGTTTCATGCATTTTACTGAGTGAGGGCAGCCACTACTATGAACATAGAAACTTGACTGTTCTTTGCACATTTGGCTGCTCTCACTTGAGAGGTAAATAGTGCAGGTTAACTCTGCTGTGAAGATTATACTTTCAGTGTTCTGGGAAATCCATCCTGAAATACTGCAGGGGGAAGAGGGGTGTCTTTCTCCCTCCCCTGGATGGATAAACTTCAGTAGTAGGGGAACATCTTCTTTTTTACAACAAAAATAGCTTTCCAGCTTCTATCAACTTAAGCATGCATTTACCAGAAAGAACAAGTTGACTTTGTCTATCAAATATTTTTGTTTTAATTTAAATTGAGAGAAAAGGCTTGATTTCCTTCAGAGGTGTTGAAAACCAACAGTTCCTCCTTAGTTCAGTAGAAATCACAATGCTTGATTTAGACACTGATCCACTTAGCCAATCTTTTATACAAGTCTCTAATTCCCATGCATGCCAATCTATAAAATAATCTAATCCTTTTTTGGATGTGACAGCAAATTATCAAGAAGTTAATTTTTTTTTAAATTCCTTTCTTAATTATATAGCAGTTTTCTTGGGAGAATAAATGGCTTTTGTGTTGGAGAATTCATCTTGCCCTTTTGTTATAGGGAGAGTAAGGCAAAAGAGGGGGAAGGCTTTCATACTTTTATATTTCTTTCAAAAAATAATTTTCATCCATTAAAACAGAAAGATGCATTGTTTCTCTGAATGAGTAGAAATAATTAAAACCGAATAAATTGTTCCTCCCAGGAATATGGGAGTTCTGAAG